AAAAAAAAAAAAAAAAAAAAAAAAAAAAAGCATTATGTATGTCTTTATTTTACAACTCACTGAAAGTGGCCCAGGAATAGAGTGATTAGGATGTTTTGCTTTGTTTCAGAAAGCAACTCTCATTTGACCTTGCTAGAGGCAAAAATTCCCACCCTCTTCCCTCACAGCAGGTTTGCAGAGAACCTTTGGGATGGCACACCAAAACCTCTGTCGTCTGCCTCAAGGAGAAGGAGGAGGAGGAGGAGCCCAACCCTGCTGATTCCTGCACTCGTGCTGCTGTCTCATGTACTTCTCATTCTAGGTAACGAGGCTCTTCTCTCCTGGGCAACATGGGGGGCCCCTTGGTGTTGGGCTCCCAAAGGAACAAAATAATCACTCCTATTCTAGAGGGGAGGAAGGAAACCACATTGAAAGATGGGAAATCGACCCCTCCCACCCAGGAGCCAGCAGCATAAGGAGAGGGAATCCATGCAATAGAGTAGAGATGCCTTTAGGGGTTCGCAAAGGGACCTAAATGCAAATGAGGACCAACCAGATCCAGAGAGGAGGCCAGTGACTGCCCAGGTGGAAGATCAGCTGGTATGCTAGGGGCTGAACAGACCTGGAGCATGTGGGTGGGAAAGGTGGCGGGGGTGCAACAGTCAGCTTCCAGTGGTTACAGCACAGTACCTGAGGTAGCTACTCTATGAAGAGTCAAGGTTTACTTAGCTCCCTGATTTGGAAGCTGAAAGTCCAAACACCACAGTGCAGACCTGGCAGCCTCCTGTCAGCTATGTCAACCCAGGGCATGGGTGGCAATGTAGGCTGTACACACAGAAGCAAACAAGCAATCATTACCTACAGTGAGGAGGGGGGAGTGGGTGTGAGGGAAAACTTGGGCTTCATAGAGATCTCTTCCTGAGAACTACCAAGGAGTCCCAGTAGCACAACCTGGGGAGGCCATGCCCCAGTGCCTAAATATCTAGCAAGAGCCCCATGTTTTGAGTGCTCCCCCTCCCACCAGGGCCACTCTGTGAGCCCAGCCTTTAACTAAGGGCTGCTAGAAGACACTGAAGACCAACACCTTGGCAAGGAGTTCATCACACTGAAGCCAGGCAGTACTGGCAGAGAAGCCAGCCTGAGATCAGGGTGAGTCAAGCCTCAGTGGACAGTGCTAGAGAAGTGAATTTGCTTCTTGTGTTTCCAAGCCTCTGTGACTTTGCTTAAACTAGTTCTATACATCTATTCACCCACTGATTCATTCATCCATCTACCCACCAACCCATCCAGTATGGGTCGCTTTCTCTGCAGAGTGAGAACACACAAGAAAAGGGGACGTGTGCACTGCAGTCCAGGTTCCAGACCCAGCAACCTTTGTCTGAAAGAGGGATCTCTCACCCCACCCTCTTGTGTCCATGGATCCCTGTTCACCATCCCAGGAGTGTCCTTCAGTGAACCCTCCTCTGTGAAGTGCCTGATGCCAGTGGTAGGTAGAGTCTGTGGTTCTCTGCATGCTGCGTGGGATATTCAGCAACTGGAGGAAGAGATGGATGAGCTGGACGGGTTACTTCCTGCTTATCTGCTTCTGTAGATCCATAGATTTGCTGTTGCTCCAAGGAAATGTAGAGTAAGAAGGAAATCAGGGCAGTTCGTGCTTTTCTGCACCATGTGGCTCAGAACTGAGACCAGCTGCCAGATTGACCACCTCAACCCACCCCAGCTCTTGAGGAACTGGAGAAGTCTGTTACTCCAGGAAAAGCAGACCCCAGTATGGACATATAGCTGGCTGGTCTGCGCTGCCTTTCCCTCCAGTGCATGGCTTGCCTCTGCCCTGCTAACCATCCTACACCCAACAGCAAGGGGCAGGGGTGATAGCCACACCTGAGGCATGCAGGAAATATGAAATGTTTAAATTCTAATTCTGGCCTCCACCTTGCAGAAGGAAGGGAATCCTAATCTCAGCTAAGACAGAATCTTCCCCATCCTTATTGCTGATGCTGAAATTGGTGAAGAAGAGGGTGCTGTGTCTTATGGCAATAGTATTTGGAGATGGGACTTGGGGAAGTGATTGGCCATGAGGGCTCTGCCCCATGAATGGATTAGTCCACTAATGGATTAATGAGCTGGTGAGGGAGTGGGTTAGTTATCACAAGAGAGTGTGTTGTGAAAGTCAGTTTAGCCATATCTTATGTGTCTTCTCACTATGAAAAAAAAAAAAAACCTGCACCCTCTTGGGACTCTGTAGAGCCCCTTCCTGCAAGAAGGTCCTTTCTCAGTATAGCCACTCAACCTTGGTCTTCCCAGACAATTCTGTGGGCAGAATTGTAGAGGTCAATTTCCTGTCACTGGGACACAACGCTTAATACAACTGAAAGCAAGAGAGGTTTACTTTGGCTCACAGTCTCCAAGGGTTCCGTCCACAGTCATCCAGCTCTCAGGTAGAAACATCATGGCAGATGGCTGTGGCAGAGCAAAGATGCATAGTTCATGGCAAGTGAGGAGGGGAGCAGCACCAGAGAGGAGGGGACAAGGGGCCAGACAATAGACTCCAAAGTCACACCTCCAAGACTCAATCACACCCACAAGTGTGCTTTACCAATTCCTGGGTGAGGCCCAAGCCAATCTAGTTGACACTATCAAGGTTAACCCCACATTCCACCCCTTATCAACGTGAAACCCACCTACAGCTCCTTAAACCTCATATAATCTCCAGATAAACACAAGGGCAAGTTAATATGTTACAACTATCTTGCATATGACTGGGAATGCAATAATCCCTCCCCCAAAGTCTCAAAAGTCCCAGCAGTTTTTGAAAGTCCAAGTCAAAATTTTTTTTCTGTGACTCAAGGAAAACTCTCAGTAGTGATCTTCTATAAAAATACAAAGAAACTTATATGATCTTAAATTACAATGGCACATGGGAAACATTCTTATTCCAAAGGGGAGGAACAGGGAAATAGGAGAGAATTGGACCAAAGCAAGACCAAATCCTAGCAGAGCAGATGCTAAGTAGCTCTGGGTTCAGCAACTGAGACACATGATGGGGAGATGTGAGCCCCACAGGATGTGAGCAGCGCCCCCCTATATTCTTACCAGCTTGGATGGCTGACCATGGTGAAATAAATCCCAAGGAACTAATTCCCTAAAAGGCCCTTCTCAAGCAGGGGACCCAGGGAATCTCTTCTCAAGTGAAACTACACATTTGCACTTTGAGCATCTGATGAGTGAGGTCCTGATCCTTGATGTCTTTTGTCTCTGTAAGTCACAAGAGCAGAGTGGAGGGGGGTCCTTTATACCTTTATGCCTTCGTGCTGACCTCTTAGGGCCAGCTGATTTCTTGTTTCCTTCAGGGCTGCCCTATGGCTATCCAGGTTCCTCCTACTGAGAGCTTGCCCAAACCATTCTCTGTATAGACATCCAATGCCATCATTTCTCTGATGACAGCCCTTGACTCCTGGCTGGAATTGATACAGCAGGCAAGTGTAGTTTAGCTGCATTTAATGTCTATGTCAGTCTCTGCTGAAGGGAACTTGCAAGACCCTATAAATGGGCTCTCTCAAATCTCAATCATCATTGTCCTCTATTTGTTGGTAGCGTAGGGAAGCGTTCTCTAGTTGGAGGGAGACTGGTGGTATGATCTGGAGAGGTTGTGGAATCTTTACATTTATCCATCAGATTTTCCCCCAAAATCTGTTGTCTATGTCATCTAAGGATCCTGTCAACTTCTGAAACTCAAAGCCAGGAAGTTTCCCTTTCTATTTCCCTTTTCTATTTTGTTTGTGGCCACTCTCCTTTTGTGAAACCATGGGAATCTGTCTTAATCCTTTTTCTGTTGCTATAATGAAATACCTGAGACTGTCTAATTTTTAGAGAACTGAGGGTTACTTGGCTCATTGTTCTGGAGGATGGGATGTTTAAGGGCCCTGGCATCTGCTCAGCATCTGATGAGGGATTCTTTCTGCACCGTGACATGCTGGGGGGCTTCACATGGCAAGACAGAACAAATGTGCCTACTTGACTCTTTATTCCTCTTATAAAGACCAATGTGTCATGGGGCCACCCTCATGACTCCATGGGCATCGTGTTGATCTCAAATGTCCCGTGGAAGTCTCTGTGGTAAAGCTTTCATCCACAGGGGAGGCACTGGGAGGTGGTGGACCTTCAAGAGGTGGGACCTACTGGAGGTCTTTAGATCACTGAGGGTGTGGCCTTCAAGGGGCCCTGCCCCTCCTTGCTTTCTTTGCTTCCAGGTGATGAGGACAATTCTTCTGCTAGACCACGCACCATCATGCTGAGCTGCCTCTCCACAGGCCCAAAGCAGCAAGGCCAACTAACCATTGTGAGCTAAAACAAGCTTCTCTCTTCATAAGCTAATTATCTCAGGTACAGTATTTCATTACAGTGACTGAGAACTGGCCAACACATTTACTTAATCCCATTTACCTCTTGTTATGGTTTCTATCTAGTTGTCCCCCGAGAGCCTGTGCACTCATATGCTAGGGTTTTGGAAAGTGATTGCATCATGGGGCTTAGAGCTGACCTGCTATGCAGAGTAGGTGTCTGTTTGGAAGAGATGGGTCATGGAGTGTGACCTGGAAGGGTTTATCTCCCACCTTAGCTCTCTTCTTCTCTCTGCCTCCCTGTCACTTTATCATGAGAAACTCTCCGCCACCACGCCCCTCTGCCACGTTGTCTACCTTGGAGCCAGACAACTGTGGACTGAAATATGGGTCAAAATAAATAAATCCAGTGTATCAGGTATTGTGTCCCAGTGATGCAAAAGTGACTAAAACGTCTCTAAATGTCTCTCCTCCAAGTATCATTAACATGAGGGCTAAGTTTCTAACACATGATCTTTTGGGGGACCCTCAGACTATAGCAGTGCTTAAGGAAAAGGCTCAGAGCAGACAAGACAGGAATAGTTAGGGAAGAGTCACCTTTCTTGACACAACTCTGCTGCTCAGTTTCCTGGGCCACATGACTCCCACTATACCAGGTGATGCCCGCTCAGAGGCATGGCCATAGCTATGAGCTTGTACCACGCCACTGCTGGAACCTAGCTTCCCTTCTGTCCCTCTCTGCCCCCGCCTCCAAGTTTTTGTGTCACCTACTCCCTTTTTGTCTCGCCTACTTTTCAGCTTACTTGGACCCAGACTTTTTCCTTTTCTCGCAGTGATTCCATCCCCTCCCGAGTCTGGAGCACTTCCTGTGGTGACTGAGGAGGACCTGCTACAACTGCGCTGGGGTTTGGGTCCTAGGAGCTTAAACTGGGGCAATTGATCTAGGTGGGTAGAAGCAGTGGGGGCAGAGTCCTGAGGGCCTGTCCCCTGCACTCCAGCATGCATATTAACCTTTCTACTCCCCAGCACCACTAGGAGAGCTTATGGCATTTCTAATTTAAATGTCCAAAACATAATATCCTTTTTTCCTATGGTTGCACTAGGCCTATCCTATCCTGAATATACAGCAATAAAGCAAATCTTATAGGAAATATGTAGTAAGAATTTTATAACTTTTTTATTGAATTGCAAATCATGTGATACCTTTTCATGTGCTTATTAGCTAATTGTATATATTTATTTTTCCCCATGATATAATCAGGTGGTCTTTTTTCTTCATGAAGTGTAAGCATTTGTATTCTGGATATTAGAGCTTTAAGTATGATTTCCAAATATATTGTGGGATCTCTTTTCACTTTCTTTCTTTCTTTTTTTTGTACTGGGGATTGAACTCAGGACTTTGCACTTGTGAGGCAGGCAGTGGCATCACTAAGCTAAATCCCCAGCCCGTCTTTCCACTTTCTTGATAGTGTCATTTGAAGCACAAAAATAGTCGCTTTTGATGAAGTATGTAACTTTTCTTTCATTCGTTGTGCGGTTGGTGTCATATCTAAGAAATCAGTATGGCTACAAGGTGATGAAGACTTACTCCTATGATTTCTTTGAAGAGTTTTACATTTTGGCTATGACACAGGGGCCTTTCATCCATATTGAGTTAATTTTTGTATATGGTATGAAATGAGGACCAAACTTTTTTCTTTTGCATGTGGGTATCCATTCAGTGGAGGAAATGGATAAAGTGTGTGTCCATCCAGACAGTGGAATATTATTTAATATAAAAAGAAATGAGTTATTAAGCCAAAGAAATGTAAATGCATATTAGTGAGAAAAACAAGTCAATGCAAAAAGTCTATGAACTCTACACTTCTGGATATGTGACAGTACGGAAAAGGAGGCAAAGTTACAGAGGTAGGAAAAGGGTCAGAGGTTTCCAGGAGCCAGAGGAGGCAGGGATGAAGGGGCAGAGCACAGAGAGTGTTTATGGCGATGAAAATACAAAGCATGACACTGTATGATGGACACATGTGACTTTACATTGAAAAAAACCCACTAAATATTATTATGAACTATGAACTGGGGGTGATAAAGAGGCATAGATATAGGTTCAATAATTGCAATAATGTAAAACCATAGTGAGGAATAAGGATCACAGGGAGGGCCAGTGTGTGGGTACAGAAGATGGAAATGGGAAATATCTCACTTTCATGCACAAGGCTGTGAAACTGACACAGTAAGGAAATGACTTCCTTAATAATAGATACGATATTACATGGAATGTATCATTTCCGACATCCCAACATCAGAGAGAGAACAAGTATAGAGCAGATAATTGATGAAAGTATGAAAGACAGGCAGGAAATGATGGGGAGATGGCACATAGTGGAGGACAGGAATAGCAGGCAGGTAGGTGGGAGGCCTAGTGGGCAGTGGAGATAGAGAGGTGGTCAGGTGCTGGGTGTTATGGCTAATGTCTAAATGTCCCCCCAAAGACTCATGCTGGGGCCTTTGGGAGGTGGCTGGATTGTGGGTGTGTGACACTGAATTACAGGTGTGTGATAACTGGATTAGTCCACTGATTGGTTTAACATAGTTCTGGGCGTGGATAATGGATTTAGTGAAGAAGAAACCCCCATTCTGGGTGAGGGTGGCACCAACCCACAGGCTCATAGCCTGGATGGAATGTAAAGAGAAAGGAAGAAGACAGGCTCGCTGCTTCCTGCCTGTCACACCACGGACTGTTTCTCCTCTGCCACGCCCTCTGCCATGCTGTCCTTCGTTGAAGCCAGCTATGGACTGGAACCTCTACAGACTGTGAGGTAAACTAAGCCTTACCTCCTTTAACTTGTGGGTATTGTGTATTTTGGCCCAGCAAAGAGAGAGTGACTAATACAGATTTTGGTACCAGAGAAGTGGGGTCGTCGCTGTGACGCTTCCTGGCCATGTGCTCCAGAAGCCTTTGGAACTGACTTGTGGGAAGAGTTTGACAAGTTTTGGAGATGCCAGCTGGAGCAGCAGCCCTAGACTGCTGTGAGCCAGTCTTCTGGGAGATTCTGGTCAAAGCTCAGAAGACCAGAATCCTGATAGAAATGCAGTTGATAAAGAGCAGGCTCAGGAGGTTTCAGTTGGGAAGAAGTACTGGCAGTTGGACTCCAGACCATGTGTGTTACATTCTAGGAGAAAATCTGTCTGCATTTTGACAGTGTCCAGAGACTCTGCCTGACACTGAGTGAGATTAAGGGCAGTGGACTAATTAATCGGGCAGAAGAAATATCAAGGCAGTCTAATGTTGAGGCAGTGGCATGGCTACTGCAGTGGGCTTTTAGCTGGCTTTACCTTGAGAAACAGGAGCAAATGGCCCAGCAGAATGATTCGAAAAGTTTTGAGTTTGGGCAGAAAGGAAGCTCTGGTAAACTTGTGGACTGCAAAGATGGATCCTAGGAAAACGTTGTTGCTGAAACAATTGGCATTAAAAAGCCAAGGAGAGTAAAGCTTTGGATTGCAAGTAACTTGTTTTGCAAATGTTCCACAAGGTAAGCAAACATTTCTAATACATTTTCATTTGATAAATGAGCAATGTCTTGCAATATGACTGGTATATGATGTCCCATGATCACAACTGAGCCAATGATTCCTCTCCCTCTACCTCTCTCTTTGTCTCTTCTCTCTCTCTCTCTCTTTCTCTTACTGTAGGGTTATGGATGACCATCGGCCAGCAGCCAGAGGTTATGGAGGAGATCTCATCTGCAGAGAAGGGGTAGAAATGGCACAGTAATCCCTCACTTCAGATGAGACTAGGGAGATGTGTAAAATGTAGAAAACTGAAAAATTTTGTGGGAAACGTACCACCTGAATAAGGCTGCAGCAGTAAATCTATTTAATGATAATGCAATTTCACATTCTCAAAAGGAGGCAAAAACAAGTGTTATTGGATAGGTTCCTTGTTAAAGCACAGAAAGAAAAAGATTACATTGAGCCAATAGATTCCATCTGTGATGGTGGAAGTTGTCCTGTACAATAATCCTCCTCTCTCTTGTCTCTCTCACTACAGCCACAAGGGTTTTCTAAGGTAGGTGAAAGTTAATTTGTCTTTCTTTACATTTCATACTTTCTTTATTATTTTGTATTATATTACAATATTTTAATCATTTTTATATTAATATTTTGGGGTTGTGGAATGAATCATTTGAATTTCCATTATTTTCTATGGGGAAATTTGCTTTGATATGCCAAGTGCTTTGTATTAAGAGCATGTTTCCGGAATGAATTATGCTTGCAAACCAAAGTGTTACTGTACTTTGGAAATGGACAATAGAAATGATGGCCTGCAGGCATCACAAAAATCAACAGGAGTCCACCCTTTACTGCCTCAAAATTGCAAAGTTGAAAAAACTTTGCTTTAAGAAGAGAGCCCCCCAGAAGAGTTCTAGAGAGTTCCAGAATGGAGGCAGCCTAGGGACCCTTACAGCCAAGAGAGAGGGAAGCCTTGCTACTGTTCCAGTTGGCAGCAGACCTTGGTGTCAACCACACAGTGCTGGTTTTAGGTATATGCAGAATGCAAGAGTTGTAGGGTCAGGAAGTCTTGAACCATGATTTCAGAAAAAGGCTTGGGAGGCCAGGCAGTGTGCCCCTGACAGGGAAGTGTGTGAAACTGTGAATGTGAGGCTAAGGTGCAGTAGAGACCCCAGGAGGCTGGAGAAACCAGGAGCATGGATCACCTGAGGAAAACTGCAAGGAGTCAGCAAAGCCAGCCCAAGAGAGGGGCCCTGAGGGCTACAACCACTGGTAGTGCCTCAGGGATGGAGCCACCCAAGCCCTTTGGAGTTTATATCTTGCCACAGATTACCCCAGAAGCTGGACCCAGAACTTGGGGACTTAATGTTTTCCCTGCTGGATTTTGGTCTTGCCTTGGTCCCATTCCTTTCTACTTCTTTATTTCTATCCTTTAGAATGAGAAAGTTTATCTTATGCCATTGGATTCTAGAAGTGTTTAACTTCCTTTTCATCTTTACAGGGGCTCACAGCTAAGAGCTTGCCTTAGATCTGAAAGGAGAATATGGACTTTTTAGCAATGCTGAAACTGTTAGGACTTTGGCAACTCTCAGAGATGGGTTAATGCATTTTTAATAAAGGGATGCAGATGAGTCTTTTGGGGGCCAAGGGCAGAATATCATGACTTATAACTAGATGTCTTCCCAAAGCCCCATTAGCTTATCAGTGGAGTTTTGGGAGGTGGCTGGATTATGGTTATATGGAAAATGAATGAGTCATCTGATTGCTTTAGTGTGATTGTGGATGATGGAATTACTGAAGAGGAAAGCCCCACCACCCTGGGTGGCAAAACCTTGTAGACCTGATGGAATAAAAAGGAAAAGAAGGAAGGTAGGTTGTTGCTTCCTGTCTGCCACACCATGGACTGTTTCTCCTTGGCCATGCTGTCCTGCCTTGGAGCCAGCCAACTATGGGCTAAAACCTCTACAAACTGTGAGCTGAAAGAAACCTTTTCTCCTTTAACTGGTGTGTTATTTCCTCCCAGCAATGAGAGAGAAACTAAGACAGTGGGGAATGCATGGTGTGCAGAGCCATGAATAAGTGGACAGCAGTTGGGTGGATGCACGGTATGGTTACATGGGAACGATGGCAGCTGGGTTTTTGGTGGTGCATTGGGTGAAGTAGAATCTCTGGTGACCGAAATCTGACCTTGGTTGATTTTATATGGCATCCCCTGTAAGGAGTGTTACCAGCCAAACAAGTTCCAGCACAGGGGGCACATGGCGAGTTGTTGTGATGGTCCCAAGAAAGAAGTGATATGGAAATCCTGAGCCACTAGGGGCTCATTCTGGGAAGAGTGAGATGAGCAGGGCAGCTTGCAAGATGCACTGAGAAAGCAGGGCAAAGGTCTGGTCAGCGGCGTTGAGGTCTGTGCGTCATGCAGCGTGCAGGCTGCTTTTTGCAGTTCCAGTCTGCTTCCCAGGCATCTTCCCTTTGGCACTCAAAGCCTGGTCAGTCGTTAGTAGCCACGTGTGCATTCTCGTTTGGAGGCTTTGGCCCTTTCTGCCTGTGTATGTGTGTGCGCGCGAGTGTGTTCATGCTTGTATGTGTGTAATCTGCACATGTGTGCTTTGTTGCTGGAGATGGAATTCAGAGCTGCTCTACTACTGAGCTACAAATCTGTCTTAGTTACTTTTCTCTCACACCCAAAGTTAAGAGGGGGAAAGGTTTATTTAGCTCACAGTTCAGAGAGGTTTCAGTCCATAAGCAGCAGGCTCCAAGGCAGGGTGACAGAGGGGCAACAGTTCATGGTGGTGGAAGACAGCAAAAGCAACAGTGGACCTTAACCACATCTTGTTACCCTTTTATTTTATTCATACTAAAGTGGGTAGCACTCACACCCCTAATCATAGTGCTCTTGGGCCTGGCATTGCATCATGAATCAAACACTCTAGATTCACCCACCTCCGAAACAGCCCCACCTCATTCTCATGAGGCTTCAGGGGACATCCAAAGGCAAGCCATAACATTTTCCCCCTGCCCTCCAACAAATGCATATCCTTTTATGCAAAAAAGCATTTAGTCCATCTTCAAGAGATGACAAAATCCTAACAGGTTTCAACATTGTTGAAAAGTCCAAGTCCAAAGTCTCCTCTGAGATTTCAGGTAAATTCTTAGCTTCAAGCCGCTGTACAAATGAAAAGAAAGTTAAACCCTTCTAACATCCAGTGGCACAAGATAGACATTTCCATTCCAAAAGGTACAAATGGTAGGATACAAAGGAACGGGACCAAAGTGAGGCCAAAATCTAGTAGGGCAAACATTAAATCCCACCGTTCCACTTCCAGCATTCAAGGCCATCTGTGGCAAGCTGTGAACTCCAAACAGCTTGGGTGGCTCTACCCTGACAGCACTGCCGCTGGTTGTAGCTCCCATGGCTTCTCTCTGGGGCTGGTTCTGCTCTCTCCTTGCAGTTGTTCTCAGATGATCCGTACTCCTGGCTTCTCCGAACTTCTGGGCTCTCCATTGTACCTTCAGCTTCAGACTCACAGCTTCACACACTTCCCTCTCAGGGGCCCCTGCCTGGTCTCCCAGGCCTTCTTCTGAAATCTGGGTGGAAGCCTTCCTAGACCCCACAACTCTTGCATTTTGCAGGCACCTAAAACCATGTGTTTGACACCCAGGTTTGCTGCCAGCTGGAGCAGTGGCCAGGCTTCCTTCCATCGTAGCTGTAGGGGTGGAGTGTTTGGATCACTGAGCACCCTGAACACAGTCCCAAGGAACAGATTCTGTAGGCCACTACCATTCTGGAGCTTGAGGTGCTGAGGCTTTCTTCTCAAAGCAGCTTTCACTTTTGCCATTCTGAGGCTGCAGAGGGTCTTGCTGTTTCTTGTGATGCCCCCAGCTCATCTCTTCTACTCTCCCATTCTTTCTCAGCAATCAAGATCTCCTTTACTCTATCATTGTGGTCCACAGCTTTACTAGAGCTTCCTTTCTAGCCAAATTCAAAACATTTTAGATCATTCTACTGTACCTTTTGCTCTTGATTCTTGACATAAATCTGGCTAAAAGCCCCCAACAGTAACTAAGCCACTGCCTCAACATTAAACTGCCTTGAAATTTCTTCCTCAAGATTAATTAGTCCACCGCCCTTAATCTCAGTCTCAGGCGAAGTCTCTGGACATGAGCAAAATGCAGGCAAACTTTCTGCCAAGCCATAACACACACTGTCTGGAGCCCAGCAGCCACGGCAGTCCTTCTCAGCGGAAACCTCTGCAGCCTGGTTTCTAACCCTAAGCTCCGGCCAGAATCTCCCATACACTGCAGCCTAAGTCATTCAAGCGCTACTTCTCCAGCCAGCACCTCCGAAACCTTCCTAACTCTTTTCCCTACAAGCCAGTTCCAAAGGCTCTTGAGCCACATGACTAGGTAATGTCACAGCAAGGACCCCACTTCTCTGGACTGAATTCTGTCTTGTCACTTTTCTCCTGTTGCAGAGACAAAATGCCTGACACCCAAAGATTAAAGGGGTAGGTTTATTTCACTCTCAGTTTGTAGAGGCTTCAGCTGGCATCAAGGCAGGATGGTACATGGCAGAGGGGCAACAGTACATAGTGGGCAGATGGTAGCAAAGGATCAAGGGTCCTTATCAGCATTCTTCTGCCCCTTTTATCTTATTCAGACTACTGAGGGAGGGTAGCACTCAGATCCTTTTTGTTTTTTGGAGACAGAGCCTCACTATGTAGTTGAGACTGCCCTGGAACTCACTATGTAGCCCAGGCTGGTCTCGAATTTAGCGATCCTCCTGCCTCAGCCTCCTGAATGCTGGGATTACAGGTGTGTGCCACCACCCCTGGTTCTGATATCCTTAGTGCTAGTGCTCTTGTGCCTAGCATTGTACCATGAATCAAACACTCTAGGTTCAGCCACCTCTGAAATAGCCCCGCCTCATTGGCATGAGGCCTAGGGGGTACATCTAAACACAATCCATAACAAAATCTATCCCTTTGTATCTTTTATTTTGAGACAGGGTGGTGTCCTAGAATTTAGCATTTTGCTGCCTCAGTCTCCAGAGTAGCTGATAGTACAGATGAGCTTTGTTTTTGTTTTGGTATCAGGGATCAAACTCAGGACCTTGTGCTTGCAAGGCGGAGGAGGCACCACTGAGCTAAATCCCTGCCCAGGCTTTGGTCCTTTTAAAGTGATCAGGTACCCAGGTTAGCTTGGATCTCATCTGGATCCAAGAAATCTGCATAATTTAATTGGGCTTTCTTTGTTCTCTAGTACAGGTAATGCAATATGGGACTTTGGCCAAGTAGAGCTATATTTGTAATGTCAAATTTTAAAATCCAACAGTATTTTGAGGAGCAGGGATGAGGAAGAAGGGAGACTTATGTGGGATGCTGGAATAACAAGCCCCCCCTCCAGTAGTGGTACTTGAATCCAGGGCCTTCGTGCTAAGCTATATCCCTGGCTCTTTTTCACTGCTTTTATCTTTGAGATAAGGTCTCACTAAACTGCTAAATTGCACAGGCTGGGCTTGAATCTTTAATCCTCCTGCCTCAGCCTCCCTAAATGCTGGCATTACAGTTGTGCACCACTATACCCTGCTAACAGCTTTTCTTTTTTAAAATCCTAATTTTTAAGAATGTATTTTAAACTCATCAAAAGGGTGCAGGGCTGTGCCAGCCCTGAGCATTTCCTGAACATGCCAGAGTCGGGCTGCAGTCTAAAGATTGAGAAGACCCCACACATCCTGGCTGAGCCCTCCTTCCAGCAACCTCCAGAAGCAGGTGCTGCCTCCCAGGGAGGGATAGGGATGGGTTCTTTGGTTGGAAGCTGGGTCCCTAGAGTTGAAAAGGGAGCTACTGAAGGGAGAGGGGATACGAATCTCTAATCCTGCGCCCCAAACCCTCACCACAGCTTCCATCCAGGCCAGGTTGGGATGTGGCCCCATTCTGTCTTTCCCTCAGGGCTGAGCCCAGAGCCCAGAGCTCAGAGCTCAGAGCTGCCCTTGGCAGCGTAGAGTCGCTGCGTCTGAGAACACAGGCTCTGCCAGGCCAGGACTTGTGTTTTTCTTGCTTTATGATGTCAAAGATGCCTCATTAGGTTGGCCCGAGCTTCACTGATTAATCTCACTTATGCACATGTCTTATTTCTCCCCGAGGGTTCCTGGGAGTGCTCATTTCTGCTACTGCAGGAACAAAATCACAGGCTGTCCCTGGAGCCTCACATATTGCCGACTCCATCTCTTCGGCCCTCCCCATTAATTTCCTTCAAGTGACATCAAGGGGCCAATCTACACTTTGACGAAATTTTTGCTTTCATTTCTAATCATTTGTGTAAAAAGCGCTGGTTTGGGTTTGCTTAGACCTTTTGGGCAGGGAATTGATCTCTAAACCATTGCCAAATTGCTTCTGCACTGGAAACTTGCTGAATCTGGCCTTTTCTCTGCTGGCCCAAAAGCTTCAATTCCTTCATCAGTCAGAAAACAACATAAGCATCACACCAGCCATGGTCCCAGCCCTCATTCCCAGTACAGACTTTGCATTTTTTAATTAAAGCTGTGATCCCACGGTGTTAACTGGTTGAGAGACACTCGCAGTCTTTTCTGAAATATTGTTTTTTTCAGCAGTGATGGGTCCTGGGACCTGGCCAATTTCTGCACCCTGCCTGCTGCTGCCTACCTGTCACCTCTGTGTTGACTTTTAGGCTGGGATAGGCAGCTAAGAGTAAAATGTCATATTTCTCTAGTGGGAAATGAGAAACAGTGTAACATGTATTTATTTATTTGTTTGTTTGTTTGTTTTTGAGGAAGTGTCTCACCGTGTAGTCCAGGCTGGCTCAGCCTCCCAAGTGCTGGGATTACAGACATCCACCACCATGCCTGCCTCAGAACTTTTAGGAAAAAAAATTACCATGGGACTTCACAGCGGTTATTCTGGCGAGCAAGACAGCCTGAGTTGATGGTAGGAAAAGTCAGGAAGTGAAGGGAAATTTAAGGAAATAGGGCTCAAGGTGAGAGGAAGGAGCCACAAGGAGGAGGAACATCCCTAGAGAGGGATAGAGTCAGAAATCTGCCCCTGCTGTGCGTCTGGGAGGTACCCACTCTTCCAGGAAGCTGGGAGACACCCATTTTCTTCCAGCTGTAGCGGGGGTTCTACTCTCAGGGGAATAGAGAGGCACTGGGAATTTGTATGTAGTGACAGCAACTGTAACAGTTAACATGCTGTAGCAGCTGTGTGTTAGCCATTGACTGAGTTTCACATACAGAGATGGCCTTGACTTGTAATGGAGCCACTTAGGATTGGTAGATGATATGCAGTTGGTAGAACTCGTATTCTTATGTTCAGTACAGGATTTTTGGCACTGCTACTCTACAGCATACTTGAGGGGCTTGGTATGTTGAGTGGACTAGGGGTGTGTTTAAATTATGATATTTTCAACTTATGATAGATTTATTGGGGTGTAGCCGCACTGTGAATCAAGGAGCATCTCTGTATAGTTATTTGATGTCCAGAACAGTATTAAAAGAAAGGGGCACTGCTGGCCTGAATTATAAGATGATTCCCAGTGACTCCCTCCTTTTGAGTACAGGTGGAACTTATGAATATGGCATCACTTCTATGAATATGTTAAATTGTATGGCAAAGGACACTGTGGACATAATTAAGGTCCCAAATAAGTTGATTTTAAGAGAGGGATATTATCCCAAGTGTGGCAGACCTAAACAGGTGAGTCCTCAAAAGGGATTATACGCTTGTTGAGGAAAGATAATTGAAATGTGAGGAGAGTTTGACATAAGACAGTCTCTATGGCTGCCGTAAAGACAGAAGCGATAATGTAGAAGGGTTGTCCTCTAGGAACTACCTGTATGGCCAGAAATAGAGGTCACAGTGCTATGATTCTGCACAACCAGGTGGCCCTGTCTTGAGGCCCTCAAGAAGGTCTCAGGCTCAATCGACGTTTTGATTTGAACCTGGTGAGAATCTGGGCACAGAACTTGTTCGTGCAGTGTGAGGACTCCTGACCTGCAGAATTGTTGGCTGAAACATGGCTGTGTCCAGGAGTAAAATGCATAGCATTTTGTTATACAGCAATAAAAGCCTGAGGCAGATTCAGGTACTGTAGAGCAAAGCAGCCATAAAAAGTACCAAACATATGAGCTCAACTGTGGATCCAGAGAGCAGGTGGAGCCTGAAGGGATTTTGAGGAGGATTTGAAAATTATGATGGAGAAAATTTAAGGTTACCTTAAACAGACCTGGTAGCAATCTGGACTTCAAGGATACTGCCATAAAGGCTGAGAAGGAAGCAAGGAACTTTACTAGGAATCAGAGGAAAAGATTTTTAGTTAAACAGTGACAGAAAGCTCAGCAGAGTTGTAGACTCACATCCCATGGGCAAACACAGTTCTGGAGATTCATTGAGGAGACTTCCAAGGGCGGGCAGAGGTGTAGCTGGGGTCTTTGTGTTGTCTGTAGTACAATGTGAAAGGACTGAGGTAAGTTGAAGGAAGAACTTTTAAACAAAGAAGAACTAGTGATTTGGAAAATCCTGCCTATCCAGATGGCAAAAATGCAGAAATTAAGAGATTGCATGTGACAGTGTAACATAGAGAAAAGGCCAGGGATGTGCTGTACAAAACCCCAGGAAGACCAGAATATCCAAGTATCTAGTCACACAGAAGACGTTTTAAGGGGCTGTAATGTGCTTCATAGAACTCCTGGGTCAAATCAGAGGGCTTCTAGGAACTTCAGGGCTGCTTTCTTACTGGGAGGCAAGAATAGAGAAGAAACTGTCTGTAAACAGTGCATGGGTGTGTCTTATCTAAAGAATGTGAACCCAGCAGAATTCACATCAGAGCCACAAAGTTCTAAGGAAAATTACTTTGGCAGAAGCACACCATCTTGGACTAAGAGTTCTAAAAGAAACAGAGGGAACCAAAGCCAAGAAGCCTGCCAGGCCCCCAAGATTACTGGCAGGGAACAAGCAAATCAATCTGCCTGGGTCTACTCTTTCATAGGAAACCAGGAGCTTTGGGGTGGAGGAGGAAGCCACAGTCAGTGGGCTTTGGCCCGTGAGGGGATGCAAGGAAGGACAGAGGGTGAGGTTAGGGTGTTCCTTCCCTCCCTGGGCTGTCTCCTGCAGGCCTACCCCTGCTGGCTCCTTCCCTTCGTAAGGTCACAGATCCTCTCAGGAAGGACTGAGATCCTCTCAGTCTCCCTGACATGCTCACTTGTCACCTAGAGCAGATTGAGAGCTGCCTAGAAAATCAGTAAGGTCTGCTTGTGGGTGTGTCTCAGAGGGCGGTTCCAGAGATGGTTGGCATGCAAATCAGCGAATTGAGTAGGGGAGATACGCCCTGAAGGTGGGGCCTGGACAGGCAGAAAGTGGAAGAAGGGCAACGTTTGCACAACCTTATGCCTTGGGCCCTTCTTGCTGCTGCTGTCGCCTATGGACATCAGACTCCAGCTTCCTCAGCCTTTGGGTGCAAGCTTGCACCAGCGACTCTTCAGGGAGTTTCCGGGCCTTCAGCTTCCGCTTCGCTGCATGGCGAGTGTCCGTTGTTCTGAGGCTTCCAGCTTCTTGGACAGAGCAGCTAATAGTTCCCAAGCTCTAACACTTGCGCTGGCCTTTTAAGCCAGTCTAGTAAACCGCTTCTCGTAATCACATATATTCAGATGCTTCTTTTTCTCTAGGGAACCTTCAGGACTGTAGCCTCTGTTTCTCTGTCACAGGCGCACCATGGAGACGTCTTGGGTCCAGCAGTCCTTGGCCACGGCCTCTCCAAGAAGGGCTGGATCCCGGCCTGAAGGCTTTTCTCTGACTCTATCTCAACCCCAAGACTTGTGGTTCTTCCTTAAAGCTGCTATGCTCATGTTGTTGAGAGTTCTCTCTACATTTTTTTAAAGCCAGCTAATCCCTTTTTTCTCTAATCCCCAGTTATATTAATAATTGTTTATATCAACTTTTTCTTGATAAAACTGTGGTGTGGTTTTTTGCTTCTCTGATGGGAGCCTAATAAAGAACAGACATCAGGAGTTTTAGTCACTTTCTTTACACTGGGACATGGGACCTGACATCCACAAACTAAAGGAGGAAAGGTTTGTTTGGGCTTACAGCATGTAGAAGTTTTAGTCCATAGTTGGCTGGGCTCCAACAAAGAATGGCATGGTGGAAGGCTCTCATTTAGTGGCATCGAGGAAGCAGAGTGAGTGAAGAGAGGAGCCAGGGAGGGAGAAAAATAAACCCTTCCAGGTCATGTCTACCATGACATGGTTGCTCTTCAACTAGACCCCACTTCCTAACAGCAAGTCAACTATAAGCCCCATTGTTTCTCACACCATTGCAATTCATATGCTCAGTGATATTTGAATGAAGAAGTCTGCTGAGGAAAGACCCTGCATCACTGCCAGAATATATACTGTAAATCACATTCCGAGCCCTCTCCCAAGGGACAAATGGCACTTATTAAACAATATGTAATTGTAATTGTAATTTCCCAGACCTTTCTAAGATTGCTAGGCATTGGCTCTGAGTTGCTACTAATTCCTAGGGATCCAAAACAGCATAGTGGACCCAAAACATCACCAGTCAGAGTAGGGGTTCCTGAGGTCAGGTCTGCCTGTGGTCCACAGGCCAGCCCTAGTTATTTCCCTAGTTCTTGAGTTCTTAATTGGAATAGACATACTGTACACCTGTATAAAAACCCCCACATAACCTCTGACCTACAAGGTGAAGATTGCTGTGATAGGCATGGTCAGGAACTAACACCTACTCTCTTCAGGTGAGAAAGCCAGAAACAATATTACAATATTACATGCCTGGGAGAATTACAGAGATAATGTTACCACAAAATACTTGAGAGAAGTAGGAGTGATGGTAGCAATCACATACTCATATAACTCATAAATTTGGTCTGTGCAGAACCCAAAAGGATCTGGAGAATGTGGATTGATGTAAACCTAATGAAATCATGACCCCAGTTTCATCTGTCTCAGATATACAGCTTTACTAGAAAAAATAATTACAGCTCCTGGAAGCTACTGAGTTAGACAGTACCATTTTTCTCCATCATTACTGCTAAGGTTTGATCATAATTTGAGTATCCCACAAAGGTCTTTATGTGAAGTCTTGGTTCCCAGAGTGGTGGTATTGGGAGATATTGAGACCCTTAGGTCTCTCAGGAGGTCCTTAGGTCATGACTCTGAGGGGACCATGTGACCATAGCTGGTTCTCTTTCTGTTTTCATTCACATAGGACTGCTTGCTGTGACACGTCCCTGTCATTTCCATGATCATCTGCTTTATGCCATTGGCTTCACAGTCCTCACCAGAACAGAGCTGATGTAGGTGCTGTGCCCTTCAGTCTCTAAAACTGTGGGCTAAATAAACCCCATCCCTTTAAAGTTAGCCACCTTATGTACGTCATAGTAGTAATATGAACTGGCTAGCACTCCTACATTATCAAGACCACTGGAATCAGTTTACTTTTACCTATCAGGGTCAACAATACACTTTCCCACATTTGCCTCAGAGCGATGTCAATTCTGCTCCCTGCCTTATCACAGTCCACAGAGAACTCAATCGTCTCAACATTTGACAAAACATCTCAGTGGCCCACAGCACTGACAGTATTATGCTGATCAGATCTAATGAGCAGGAACCAGGAAACTCTCGAGACCCTTTAGTAAGATATATGCAATATTCATAGCCATGTTTTGACACGTGCAGTGGTTCTCAAACTTATCTGTCCATAACAAATATTTCTCAACACTCTGTACACACCAGTACAAGTAGTTTTCAAAATCAGTATAACTCCCCAGTGGAAATGAGTAAAAGGGAAATAATTTCCAATAAGAGAATATTTCAATTTCCAATTGCTTGGGCAGGCCTACATGCAAAGACCAAATCAATAGCCAGACATGTATGTCTGCATGTAGTTTGAAGCATGACAAACTCCAAAGCAAACTGCCAAGTTGTGCTGTACCAGGGCTGTGGGTACTAGAACAGAAGCTGCCACGGGGATGTGGTTTGCAAAATGCTGCCAAAGTCCCACTTTACCCCATTTCACACATCTGTTGCACTTTTGGAAAATGTCTTCTATGCTGTGCAAAAAGTGTGTTTTTGTTTACATGCATGTAAAAAGCATGTTCATGTCTACATGAAGTTTAAGTACAAGCTCAAATAATTATAAACAGGTTTCCCATCTACAAGAATGTCTGGGAAAACATTTGAAAGTCAAAACAAATCTAGGACAATTTTTTTTCCATCCTACACATTAGGCCAATTAGGATTCCTGAGCCTTGCCCACCAAATGCCTACAGGGTGATCTCATCAGTGTGTCTACTGGTCTCCTTCACGAGGAGCACATAATGGGCATCCTGGGTGCCATACCTCTTGCTTTGGAAGGGCCATGCTATTGTTTGAATGTGTCTCTCCAAATTCCTGTGTTAGAAACTTAATCCACAATGCAAAAGCGTTGAAAGTTTGGGTGTTGAATAGGTGATTTGGTTCTAAGGGCTCCCCTCTCATACATGGATTAATGCTATTGTTAAGGGGGCGGATTTGTTATAGCAAGAGTGGGTTTATTATGAGAGTTCACTTCTCTCTCCCCTGTCTCGCTTCCTTGCTCTTCGTCCTTTCACATTCTCCCATGCAACTATGCAGCAGGAATTCTGGCCACATGCAGCCCTTGATTTTGGGCTTTCCAGCCTCCAAAACTGTAAGAAATGTGTTTCTCTTCATTGTAAGTTACCCCACCTGTGCTAATTCTATTACAGCAGCACAAAACAAAGACCCCCCAGAAAATTGGAACCGCTCCTGCAGAATTAGTTACTAAAAAACAGCAAAATGGGGATTCCACCACTTACAAATTGTACCCAAGAGGAGTGTACTGTGGCCTTGTTTCTGCTGCCCTTACACTTCTGCTAAAATGCATCACTTGATGTGTGACACTTTCATTATTTACTGCTTTGAGGCTCAGAGAGCAAAGAGGCCAGACTGGTCTCTGCTCACTCATTCATTAGTTTTAATTAAACCCTCTAATTTTATTTATGCTGCCACAAACTGATTAACAATTTGGCAGCATAAAGCAAGAAGTCTTAAAAAGTACCTAGAGGAATCTGTGGGTCTCTAAACACAGACTTTATAGAAATTAGGTGGGCTGTGGGGAGGGGCTTCTACCAGGCTGAAGGAGGCAAGTTTTTGAAGCTTCACCAGTTTGTAGAACCCAGGAACAGCTGACAGATCAGAGATTTGGAACCCTGAGGGACCAGTGCATCAGGGGACTGTGTCTCTTTGTCTGCAGTGCCCACTGTTGGAGAGGGGATCTTGCTGGGCATGGCTGAGGCCCTAGGACACAGAGATCTCACTCCCATATCAGTTGGAGAAGTAGACACTTACACAACGACCCATGAGTGTCAAGGTGGAGTTGTGAATAGGAAAGAAGAGGACTTCAGACAGCCTGAAGTGGGTGTCAGGAAAGCTTTCTAAAAAGGACTGGAATCTGACCTACGCAAGGAGGATGGACAGAGTAGTCAGACCGACATCCTAAGGGAGGAATATGGGCAAAGACTGAGACACTTATGCCTCTGCTCTCCAAGGGCCAGTAATGGTGCTAGCCCCAAAATTAGGGAAAGAGAAAAAAATAAACAAGAGAATATAACAGGCTGAACCAGGGAGTTTTAACCCAGCAATATTCTTTGCCTTTTCAAATTCTTATTCTGTTTCTGAAAGTGGGAGGAAAGGCATCTTGACCTCTTGTCAGATAATATTCAGACCAGTATATTTAGCTTAGAGGTGCCACCACCTGCCTGGAAAGTCCAAGGTTCAAAAACAAAAGCAAACAAACAAACAAACAACAATAAAGAAACCTTCCACATCCACTCATGAAAACACTCAGCTTACTTGGGTGTCATGATCACCCACCTGGTTCTTCAGAAGCAGTGAGCTTTCTGGCAGAGAATATGTGTCCTGCCTACCTACCTAGATACTCTCTTTCCCCTCCTCCCCTGTTGCTTCCCCAGGTGTCCATGCCTAGGTGTGGCTCTGTGCAGGGGAGGTGTGAGTAAAGGCATCACTTGGTCACTTAAGGACCACTGGCTCTTGCTGGAAAGAGTGCTCTTTTCTTGTTAGCTCATGCCTGTATTGCCTTTGAATGCTGGCAACCTATGCGCCTCTGAGGTCCCATGGATCTGCTTGTTCCATGCTGACTATGCAGTGACTGTTGCTGCCTTGTGTCCTGCTGTAAATGGCAGGGCCTCTCTTGTTCCATGAGCCCTCATGGGAAGCCACCAGCTGTCTTCCATATCCTTGGTTCTGGGTGTTGTAACAGCTCACCAGGTCACTTTCCACATCAGCTAGCTTTTGCTGCATGAATAACAAGGCATTTCAAAGCATAGGGAACAGGAAAGGAAACGTCACCAGAGATTCCTACAGTGGGTCCTGGTCTGTGAGGCAATACAACACAAAGCTAATATGAATAAAGAAAGACATGAGACTTAGAAAGTTGGGCCTTGAGACTGATCAGTGTTACTCTGGGAAACAAAGACAAAAGTGTCCAAGTCCATCCAGTACTTATTGATTACAAGCTTGAGAAGGAACAGAGCAGGATATGCTTTGAAGGCACCTAATGATATATGATGCCAAACATTGGCATGGTGGTGCCAAGCAGGGTTGTAAGGGAGGAGACACTGCTTGTCTTGCTTGGATAGATCAAACAAGTGCCAGGACTGGGCACAATTAGCCAACAACCCTTCGGGTCAGTGAGAAGACGTAATTCAGGGGAAAAGATTTTGATTGGGGTCATGCTGACCTCAGCTGCATGTAACTCAGCAGAGCCCTGCCACTTCACAGACCACGTCTTGGGTCTCTGTGGCAGCCACTGGGGGAGGGCTATACTAGCCCCATCTGCCATC